GAAGCAGCTGACCTGCATAAAAATATAAGTGAAAATAGTGGATAAGACAGAATTCTTCTACTAAATCTCTAAAATGCAACATTTATTTGGAGAGACTTAAAAAAAGGAGCATTCGTTAACTTTCTATACTTGAGAGAATTTGCTTAAGTCCTTCAGCAAAATTGACGCAATTATAAAGCTATTTTATTTCCAACAACAGAAATGAGCACATGAAGATAGGAAGAAAGAAGGAGAACTCAACAGACCAGTGCTAAAAATGAGTGTGTCTGCACTGCACAGTGCAGTGGCTACAGCAAAGCCACATCCAATTACTTTTACAGTTTTTCCACTTAGCTTTTCTGGGTGCAACCAGACTAGCAAAAATGCTGAGATTTCTTATTTCAAGCCTTGCAAGGACAGACATTTATTTCAAACGAAACTTAGGTGAAAAAGGCTGGGTACCTATGCCACCAATACCGTTGGACCCACATGTAAAACTCTCAGTGGAAAATTAGAAATGCATTCTCATTCAGTCTTTCATTTAGATAATACAAAGTCTCCCTAATTGTTTCTGTGGTGCTTGATTTGTGCTGGAGTAGGACTGTAAGAGTGTTATTCCTCGGGGAATAGGGATCATCATGAAAATGAGATGTGAATCTTGTCAGGCTGCCCTGGCGTGTATGAAATTTTAACTAGATAAATTCTGGTACAAGACATTTTGTTAGAACTGCTGAATAATAATTATTAAAGTTCTACAAGTTGATTTTTCCTGCTCTGATAGCAATTGTAATGACTCAAGATTAATTTTAGCATTAAAAACAGAGGTAACTGTGATACTTAAAACCCTGAGGCAAATCAGTGGAAATGCTTTGGAAAGGATAATTATACCTGCATGAGGAAGACTATCTGTTTAATAGCATTAACTGGTCCAATTAAAGAGAGGTGGAGGAAGGGCCAATTTGTTTAACTATTCTCTGAAAAAGTGGTTTGATTTTTTCTAAGGTGGTTCCCCGAGGTTTAAACGTTTTAAGGACTATTAGGGGAATCTTGTATCAAGTTGTCGTTAAGTGCTTAACGTCACAGGCACGCTGGTGTTTTACCATCGAAACAAGGAGGGGCGGGGTGCATTTATGCGGCAGGCATTTTGTTTCACATCGTTAACTTAGTCTGTCCATAATCCCAGTCTAAACATCCATAAAGAGATTATTCTTCATCGGGGGTGGAGGGGAGATGGGACAAGACGACGATTCTCTTTGTTGTTGCAGAACAGCAGCCGGTTTGGCCTATTTTACCGCTGATCAGAGCTAGAGCAGTCTGCAGGCTGGCTGAATGCTGCCTAGGATCTGCTGCCACAAAGCTTTCCCTAGGATTTGCCTGCTCTAACACAAATAGTGATGTGTGTGTCTTTAAGTATAAGTGCGGGAATGCACGTGTGGAAACACACCAGGCGCAAACTAATGCAGGGATTTGGTGTCAATGCCTTCTCTAATACATACTTGCTTATGTAAAGAGGCATGGATTTTACCAGGGGGGCTAGAGGGAGCAGAGTTTAAGAGGGTTTTAATCCTTCCATGAATCCTTATCTTTCATTTCCTTGCTGTAGTGTTGGCATTGCTTCTGGCACTGTCCACAGATCTTGAGTGGTTAAAAAAGTTTTAACTGAAAGTTAAAAGCGGTGGCCATAACTGGCTTTATGCAGTTGCACAAAGGTAGTAGCACTGTACAGAAAGGGCAGTACTACCCTCTTCAGAGTCATAGCACAGAGACAGGATTTTTTTCTCTGCCAGTAGTTAGTTTGAGCTTTCTAAGGCAGCCCTTCACCAGCTGGAATTGCAGAACGTAATTTAAGAAACAGACAGCTCTACCTTAGTTAAAGCAAGCGTACCCTCTGTTATATAATCCAGGTAGGTAATAGCACAAAGGCATTCTTTCGTATCAGCTATAGGTTTATTTCTGTATCTACACACGGATAGATGCATAAATATGTATGTATTTATACCTACAGAGTATTAAGACAGCATTCCAAACCAAAACAATCCCCTGAATACATTTATGCCTGAGTAGACCCCGCAGAAACTGATAGCAGATTGATGTTAATCATATTGTTCAGGGAACTGCTTGAAAGTGCCAGTGCTGCCTAGAACATAAAGCCAGCATCACTATCACCATGCTGGTTGTACCCACAGAACCCACTGCAAAGAGTATAAAGCCTGATTACTTAAATACAACAAACACGCCATTAAAACAGGATGATGTAATCAGGAAAAGGATAACTAGAAATTTCAGAGTTAGAAATTTCTAAATGAGAATGAATAATAAAAAGCATTTTAATTTTGCAAAATTCAAAGCTTACAAGGAGTTCATTTTCTCCTTTTCAGTGAGAACATCAGCAGTGGATAGGAAGTCAAACAAGCTGAATATCATGGACTGTTACTGTAAAATACTTGATCTACCATGTGCAAAAAAGATATTAATATATAGCCCGAGAGGTGGAATGACTGGAGCAGCAGGAGAGAAATGAGTAGTTGACAGGAGCAATGGGTATGTTTGGTTTATTAAAGTCCAGATCCTACAGTAGCTTTACATAGCTCTATTTAAGTAGAATGATCTAGTCCAAAGAGAGGTTTTCTGAGCTCTGCACTGCAATTAATCTTCCCATTCTTTTGATTAATTGCAGACACATACCTTAGCACTCCTATTAAATGACCGCAGTGCATTTCCAGTCCCCTAGCAGCATGCAGGCTACTGGTGCTTGATAGCTAGCAAGGAAATAACTGTCCACAACACATGATTTTCATGGGGCAGTCCTTTAATGATTAATAAAAAATATGAATAGCACCACAACAGCCTCTCTTCTTGATCTCAGCTTCTGAAATGAAAAGCAGGAGCCAAAGCAAGATGCTGTAACTGTTACCTGTTAAGATTTTTTCAACAATTAGTCACTTTTACCTCTCCTAAACAAAATTATGCTACCATGTTTATATACTATTTTAATATAAAATCCCATCATTCACTTTGAATTTTTTTGACAGAAATGAGAAAAATGCAGTGATTTTAAAAGAATGTTGAAAGCCACAGTAAATCCCCAGAAAAGATGATAAATCTCTGATCTCTGATGGAAGAACAGCACACTATGTCAAACACATAGCTTTTATCAGCTCTGCGTAAGCTAAGAAAGTGGTTACACAAGGTACTTGGAAAATTCTTATTCTCATCTTACATTTCTTCAGCACTGAGGGCTACTCAGCTCCAGATTTTTAATTTAATCCATTTTATAAAAAGCCTAATTGCAAAATTGTGTGGAGTTAGGCTAAATTCTGAATTTTCCTATGGCTTGGGAAAACTCAGCCTAGATATTAAATTCTCACTTCATCTTCTGTCAGTACTAATACATATACTTGACTGAAAAACAACCAGCTTGGATGTGTTGCCATAAGGCACACAATAAATTATAGACCCCGCTCCAAAAGTTTTTGAGTGTATTAATACTCCTGATGCAATTGCATAAATACCTTATTTTGGGGAAATGTGATGCATCCACCCCATCCTGTGTATCCAAAGCACAAGTTTTTCCAGTAGGTAAGTGAACAAGAATGAGGTTAAATGGAGATGGTGTATGTTGAGCTAAAAATTATTAAACAAACACAGCCACCCCCCAAACAGCGTCTCTTTCTCTTCTGTATAAACAAAGGCAAAACCAGAATCAAAGCATTTTTGTTTTTTTCCTGTTGTCCTATTTATTCAGTAGAATCAAGAGGTGCATATTCAATGGTTTGCCGTAGAAGTAGCGTATTACTGACTGTTACTAGCATTACAAACTAGTAACGTTGAAACTAATCAACGGAATAAAAGAGCTGACCCTGCTGCAGTGCCTGGGTGTAACGGTCTTATTTTGAACATAAGCAGATTAGACTGATGTGACTTCAGACATCCACAGGCAGTACAGAGAATATAACTGCCAATATTTCAACCTTTAACAACTAGCATTATTTTCTTTAAAATGGCCTTCATGGTGGATATGACCTCCCAAACAAGGAGTGCAGCAGTTGAGTAGGCAGCAAAGAAGTCTGGTTCTAATGTCTTGGCCAAATTCCAACTTCAGTAATTATGCTCTGCTGTTAAATTCCCCCTGCAGCTCTACTAGAATGAAGCTCTTTTTCAGCTTGTCCTGAAGCATTGTGTAGTATTTCTGTGAAGTTGTGCAACACTGAAAATATCTCCTCCCATTAAAATTGCAAGGGGAATTTAGGTAGACAGAAAGCTATTACCAGAGTTTGAATTTGGGCAGAACACCAAGGTTAACTTACACTTGCATTGGGATCAAGGGATCTTTGCTGACAAGGAGTGTCAGACCCTTGTTAAAGAGCACAAGTGGGAATAGCTGACTGTGCTGCCTGCATACAAACTTGGAATCTCCACACCTGGAAGTGACTGCAGGAATGTTTCCTAACAAATGACTGTATAAGATACTCTACAGCACCAGAGGATTTTATCAAAACCTTATTTGGCTTTTTAAAGTAATATTTATGAAATTATTTGTTGATAAAAAAAGTTACAGCAACTTAGAAAAAAAAAAAATCCCACATTTTTAAAAAAGTCTTTACCAACAGAAAAGCAGCTCTCTCTACATAAACCAGTTTATGCCAACACAATTATTTGAATTTCAATAAGTAGATATCCCAAGAGCCACTCAAAGAGTATTTAAGCAAGCTTGAATCAGGCCTGCAGTACTAGTGAAAGCATTCTGTTATACTGAAAAGAGAGCTGTAGCAGTTTTCTTAGCCTCTATATTGAGACTTATTAAAAATATTTAGGTAACTGATTCTCAAATTAGTTTATAACCAAACCCCAAAAAAGTAATTCTCACTAAGCGAGAATAATTTAGAACAATCACTGTACAAATTCCTGTAGAAAGGATAAAACCTCTCCAAATCCACCCACATACACTGAGGCTGTTTGTATTTTGTGCTTGCTTTTTTTCTTTCCTTTCTTCCTGTTGTTGCCTTTCTTCTTTTTTCAGATCAGGGCAGTGGTAAGCTTAGTGCTCTTATTTCACCCATTTCTTTAATCTCAACTTTCTCATATTTTCTTGTCCACAGCCACCTCAGAATAACCAGCAGAGTGATGCCAAAGCCAGCAGCCAGCATCACCACAGCACTAATGCCAGCAACCAGTTGTCTCATGCAAAACTCTGGTGGCTTTTCATTAACATAGTAAATCCATATTTTTTCAATATCCAGAGCATCTCCATTGATGGAGACAGTGCATGTACTGTTAGCATGAAATAGGGAGTCATCTCCCGTATCTCTTCCAAGGTAATGGGCTACATCAGCTATATCTACATCACACCTAGATTTCTCAGAGTCATGCTGGTTCGGGCAGATTTGGATAATTGGGGAATCATATTTAAAGATTGAGATGTACTTGGGGTGGTTTGTATCGCCTCTCAAATGTTTCAGGGCGTTTGCTACATCGGAAGCATCGAAGGCACCTTTCTTTGTGCCTCAGTTCAATGTAGATCCAGCTTGTTCTAACTAGTTCACCACAACTCAGGCTTTTGTCACCCTTTTCGGTTCTCCTTACTCCAGCAGTGTTCACACACTAGCAAGTATCAATTTGATTGCACTGCCTGGCTTTGAAGATACCACTGTCCTCGCAGTCTGGATTGTAAATGCCATCATTATCTAACAGCCCACGAGGATGGCCCCAGAAGTGCTCCTCCTTCAGGGGGATCATTTCTGCCTTCATCAGCAAAGAGCTGAACAGTCTACCGTATGATTTGAGCCTACCAGCATGCGCGTGCAGTTCCCAGATCTGTCCTGGGCCGTCCGCTTGTTGGTCACACAGGTACAGTTGTTCTGCACTGATGAAGCTACGACCAGAATCAAACCCAGCAAAACCCCAAACAGATGCTCCATATTGCAGGCGAAAAGCGTGGATAAAGTCTTGAGTGATAGCAGGCAATATCTGAAGCTTTAATCCATTCATGGAGTCTACTCGTTTCTACATGCTGGTGTGCTGCTCCTTTATCAAGATTCAAATTGGACCCACCAAACAGGTTCTCCTTCAAAAACAACCGGCATCTTGTACCCAAATCCTAGAGAAGTCAGCAAGCTGCACTTCCATCTGTTACTTCTCAGGCAGCGGCACCAATGCCTGCCTCCAGATGCCTGCCATCCCTCTTGCTTGATGAGGAAACAACAGGGAAGGGACATAAAGCCAACCTGAAGCATAGCTCCTGCCCTGGGCTTCCCTTATGGATTAAAGCACAAGCAGCTTGCCCTTTTCCCTCATTAGACTTTTTATGGACTATGTAAATGCACGTTTAAGGAACTTCTCCCATTTCTGTTGGAAGAAATCCTACTTCCCCACTTCCATCATGGTTTTTCCTGCCGTCTTTCATCACACAACTTCTGTATCATTCAACTGTCTAGATTCTTATCAATTACGGACTTCCTCCTTTCTACTTTCATGTACTTATGAAATAAAGCCTTTTGGAGTTTTATGTATGCTGCCTGGAGCAGCTGCTGATTCAGGAGGAATGACCATTTATCGGTTTGATGGCTGCACTCCTACATGGAGAGCACAGGAGCCCAGTCTCAGCTTCCAGCACACAAAGCTTCTCTCCCCCATTTCCTTTGGCACATACTCATCCCAAGGCAGTACTAGGAATGATGATTTTCATGCTTGCATTACCCTTACAAAGTTGTTAGCCGTTTCTGAAGAAATTTTTCAATCTGAACTGTGAGTAATGCCTTTCGCAGTACACTCCAGTAGCTCCCAAGTGTCCTAATGATCTAGAAAGCATGAGTTACCATTTCCATGTGTTTTGGCAGCAGCTGAAAGATATTTTCCAGTTTGCATTAAGCAAGTCCCATTCATCTGATTTGTTAAAGTCAGACACTTTATAAATCATTATTTTGGGACCAGTAACGACCTCAGAACAGTGTATACACCATTCTCCCATCCACACTACTTCCACGCTGCCTTGCAGTCAGCTCCTTTTACATGTGCTGCTCTTTTCCAGGGCCTGCCCTGCTTCAAATCAATGCAAGCTGGGCTACTTGTTGTGATGGCTTGCATTTGTGTGAACAGTGGGAAGTCACCCTGGCTGCCAGTGAGTATTTATAGCATGGTAGAGGTTTAAAATTAGAGCTCCAGATGTAAATACCCTCTGCCACTAGAGAAGGGCACAATCTGAAGTTGAACTTTGCAGCAAGACCTATTTCTAAATAAGCCACAGAAACACGCTACTTGAGGGAGCAAAGATGGGACAAGTTTTTCAAATTATTCCTGGCTCCTTTATAGCACATTATCACACATCTCCATTTCCCCTTCTTTATATAAAAATAACCGTCGTTACCTTTCTTAGAAAGTAATTGAGATCTACAGTTAAAATTATTATAAAAAATGCTAGTTATCTCAAGTTGTCATGTTGATGATTCTTTGATAATAGTTTAGTAACTATTTTCCCATTTTTAATTTCCAAGTCCTTAATTTACCTATAATAATCTGCTTTTAAAAAAAATTTCACATCTCCTTCAATGTCAAAATCCATTTAACAGTCACCTATGTACTCATATCTTGTCTTTATTTCACATTATGAACTTTAGAGAGAGTAGGTTTTGTTTTTCTTCTCTCTGGAGGACAGAGCCTCAACTGCTGTAAACTTGCAACTCACAATCAGCTTCGGTGAAGTGATGGCAATTTCTGTACGGCCGAGAGCTGCGCTGCCCTTGTGCTTAGAAAGCGCCATATGAAGTGTAGGGTATAGCCTGTAAATAGTGGAAATCAGTGGGTGAATCCTGCTCGCATAGCAAAGATGGCTCCTTATCGAGAAGACATAGTGGAAGTTGGCAACCACGTAGTATGTGTCGTGAAGGGCAATGTCTAGTGAGGAGTTTGCGAGGACAATTCCTGCTAGGCCTCCAGTGGTGAAAAGGAAGATGAAGCCTCGAGCTCCATAGTATTGGTGGGTCTCATTTCATGGTTCCTCCACACAGCGTAGCTGGTAAGCTAAAGACTTTAATGCTAGCTAGGATGGCGGTGATTATGGTAGCAGATGTGAAGTATGCTCGGGTGTCTACGTCCCTTCCTGCTGCAAATATGTGGTGAGCATGAGGAATCCGATGGATAGTGTAGCTCATGCTATTCCTGTATAGCGAACTGTTCTTTTTTGCCCACGTAGTATGTTACTATGTGTGAGATGATGCCACAGCCTGGTAGAATTAGGATGTAGACTTCTGGGTGGCCAAAGAATCAGAAGAGGTCCTGATCTAGGACTGGGTCGCCACCTCCAGAAGAGTCAAAGAATGTGGTGTTTAGGTTTTGGTCTGTTAGTAAGGTGATACCAGCGTCAAGAACTAGGAGTGATAATAGTAGTGAAATGGTGGTAATGAGGACAGATCACACAAATAAGGGGATTTGATATTGTGAGTGCGGTGGTGTTGATACCAGTTGTGACGAAGTTGGTTGCTCCTAGGATGGAGGACACACCTGCCATGGGGAGGGAGAAAATGGCTAGGTCTACTGAAGCTCTGGCATGGGCTAAGTTGCTGACTAATGGTGGGTATACAGTTCATCCTGTGCCTGCTCCAGCTTCCATGGTGGAGGTGGCTAGTAGGAGTAGGAAAGATGGGGGGAGTAGTCAGAAGCTTATGCTGTTTATGTGTGGGAATGCCATGTCAGGGACACCGAGTGTAAGTGATACTAGCCCCTTCCCAAATCCTCCAATTATAATTGGTGTTACTATGAAGAAGATTATTACAAAGGCATGGGTGGTGACAATTACATTGTAGATTTAGTCATCCCCTAGGAGAATTCGCAGTTGGCTAAGTTCTGCACGCAGGAGTAAGCTGAGAGCAGTGCCAACTACACCAGCGCATGCACCAAAAATTAAGTATAAGGCACTGGTATCTGTGGTTAGTAGAGAATAGTCATCAGTAAATGAAGGTCTCAGGTAAGGTGTCAGTGTTGAAGCATTAGGCTGTGGTCCTTTTTCCAGAGGTTCAATTCCTCTTCTTACCGGCTCTGTGGCGAAATTCATGTTGAGTACACTAAGAGTGTGCCAGAGTCTGGCAGGCAGAAGCAGGACTTTTTAGTAAACAGTACTGTGCTTGTATCATGTTTACAGATGTTCATGCATAGTCTCAGCCTCATATTGTTTGAGTTTCCCTTTCTTACAGACACTTACAGTGAAGTTGAGAAAAAGGAGTTTGTCAAAAGTAATATATGGAAGAAAAATCATAGATAACTAAATGAGACGGTCCCTTTTCCCTACTGGTAGAAGTTTCATTGCTGTTACCTTAATTAAAACCTGCATCATCTCTTCCCTCACAGGGGGCCAGAAGCATGGCAAAGGTTTTAGAATATACCCATCACCAAGCAAAAAGTGCAGAACAGTGGCAAGAGAAGGGCAAAGAAGGAATAATTTTAAGTTTCCCTGACAGATCTGCATAAATTGCCAAAAAAGTGTGCACTTTTCAATTGACTTTTTTGTACTGATGGATTTTCCCCTCTGTAAATAAGGAGTGAACAGACTTATTTTAAAGACAAAAGTATTTCCAAATATCTATCTATCTATTTATAGAGATATATATGTAATGCCTCTATGACACTAACAAAATAAAAAGTATAGTTTCCTTTAATCCATGCTAAGCTGTAGTGGCACTACAAGAGTTAAGTATTTAAAACAGCAGGCTGTAAAAGGAATAATCCTGTAGGAAATGTGGAATGCATTACTTCTTTAGTGATCTCCGCTTCCATGGAAACAATTTCTCGGCACAATTCTAAATCTCATAAAAATAGGGCACTAGGTCTGTGTAAAACAGCAAGACATTTCCAATTAAACAACCAGACTGCTTTTATCTAGGCCATTAAATACTTTGTTCGGTATCAAATATGATTACAGTGTTCACTGGGATGTTAACAACCAGCTACTTCCCACACACTGGCTCTGTGGGGCCGGATGAAGTTGCCCTGTACACACCCCGACGTCCCTCACTTCCTCAGCAGGGTTCACAGCGACAGCACAGCGTGTTTCCTTCCCCGTGCAGACCTGGGGCGCACCACTCTGCCGCGCCTTTCGAGGTGTGCCCTACACCTCCACCCTGCTTGCTCTCCACCTCCACAGCCTCGCTTTCCCCTACACAACATGATGTCCTCGGAGGTCAGTAATGCCCAGCAGACCAAATTCTCTGCTAGCACAGCAGGGAAATTAATCTGGCTCCTGCTGCTGGCAGAAATAGAGCTAGAACCAACAGACTTGAATCAAATTTAGGCAATGAATAGAGTTGTTTGAAATAATTTGATGGTCACCTTCAGAATTCCCTAGAGTTGCCCATGAAAACAAACCCATTACATTACTTCAGTCATTCTGCTGCCAGGATTATCTGTGAAAACAGCGTGGAAAATACAGATCTACCTTCCTGGCATCCCTGCCCCAAAGTACCATCGGGTAATTTTCTGAAGGAGACTAAAGCCTTCTGCTTTAGTGAGTGAAACAAATCTATACCAGGGTACATGGCTGCTGCCCGTGACATTTCATCACTAGCCAGAAGTTCACACGCACTAGTACGAAGAGTTTTGCTCTTGGTTCAAACCCCCTTTTTGTTATCAGCTGTGACAAAGGTCCCTCTAGCGGTGTTAACCTTAGCTGAATCACGTTGTTATTCTTACTGACTTGAGAGTAAATGCCAGACCTCAGGCTCGAGAGAGAGGCAGCTATCACAAATGCGGAACACACCTTTCAAGATACTGCATATACAGTCTTTATTAGTAGACTCTTGTATACCATCAGTCAGGAGTATCAAAGCAGCAAGCAAAAGGAGAAAAAGTACTCGGTATCAACAGCAACAGTGATAACTTTTTTGTTTGTCTGGTTGGGTGGCGTGGTTTAGCCCATGGGTTTTTTTGTTTG